GGTCGTGGGGCTAGCCAACGCCGTGTGACAGTGACGCTGCCCGCTGTCGTCCGCCGGAGGGGCGCCCCAGCCTGGCTCCGGGTGTGGAGATTCAGCCGGATTATCATGAGCCGTCTGGCTGATTAGCGTCCAGTCCCGCCAGCAAAGCCGCCCGCCCGCCGCCCCATCGGGACACCCGCTGTGCAGGGGACAGCCCCGGGGTGGGGCGCGGGCTCCCCGCTCGCTCCCTCACCAGCTGTCCTGGCCTCCCTAGACGGGCCATGCTACAAGTCCGAGATGCCTGGAAGCAAACCCGGCCCATTGATACCACCAGTTCCCAAGTGAAACAGTGTCGTGTGCAGGGCAAGCACGCCTTTGTGCTCACGGGTCTTCAGTGTGGAGCATGTTCTCTCCTAACACTGACGAGGCAGGCTGGCCACGCTGGCCCCGCACGTGGCAGACGCGGAAAGGGGGAGTCAGTGTGCAACCTCCCAGGACGGGTCCAGGACAGACCCGGGAACACCAGGAGGCACTGCCCGTCCCAGCCCAGGGCCTCACAAGTAATAAAGGCCGATGGTGATGCAGGGCTCCTCCCAGCCGGGCACCCTCGCCGAGCGTACAGTGGTCTGCATGCCCACGGCACCTCCATGAAGTCACTCTGCAGCACGCCTGTTGTTACAGACNGGGGAGTCAGTGTGCAACCTCCCAGGACGGGTCCAGGGCAGACCCGGGAACACCAGGCGGCACTGCCCGTCCCAGCCCAGGGCCTCACAAGTAATAAAGGCCGATGGTGATGCAGGACTCCTCCCAGCCGGGCACCCTCGCCGAGCGTACAATGGTCTGCATGCCCACGGCACCTCCATGAAGTCACTCTGCAGCACGCCTGTTGTTACAGACGAGGAGCCTGCGCGTGAAAGGACAGGTGACCTGCCTGTAAGCGGGATCCCAGGATCCCAGAGCAGGCGGCCTGCCCGAGAGTCTGTGCTCGGAACACTTGCTGCTCCGCTTCTTTCTTGCCCTAACAGTGTCCTTCTTCCCGCTTACTTCCAGGGACCCTTCTCCATGTCTTTGCAATCCCAAAATTGGAAAAATTTCCACTGTGGCTCCTTTTTCCATTCTCTTTTCTCCAGCACCTTCTTAGTCCCTGTATATTCCTTCCTTGAGACTCCCCCTTCAAAGGCTCGTTTTTAGAGATTCAGTCTCATCTGATCTGAGGCTGAGCAAAAAGGAGGGTCCCTGAGACCAGGGGCAGACCCTGCTCTGGAATAGCTGTAAAGTAAGGGAACTCCGCCAAGGCCCTTCACCACACTCACTGCCTCCACCAGTTTCTTCCTGCAGACTTTTTACCCAGCTCCCTGCCAGTTTTTTTTCTAATCAAAAATGTAGTTTTCCTCAGTCAGCTTGTTCTTCGTAGTAAAATGTCATATCAGTAAATATGAGAAGTTTAGGCTATCAAAGCATAGGCAGTTGAAAAATCGACAATTTTTTCTGAAGAGGTAGCCTCCCTGCTGAGTTTCTCTGTGGATCGTGCCTCCAACAACACCTTGTCCCCAGGTAGAGTGTTAGGCGATCAGTCAGAAGAGTGACAATTAATTCCCTGTCCCTGAATCTGATTTCCTAGAGAGAAACCTTAGCGGCTACTTGGAGATGGGTGCAGGGAAATGGATGGAGAGGTGATAACCTTTGAATTATTGAGTAGTTATATAAAACTTCTGTTTGTTCTTCCTCCCCTCTACCCCACTGAACTCCTCTCCAAAACTACTCAACATAACCTATGCCATTTTCCCACAATGTGGCTTCTCTTGAGGTGAGCCCAGCAGTAACAGGAGCAGTGGAGACCTAGAAATGCTGAGATCACTGGGTCCCAGGATGGCAAGGAAAAAGTCTGCGAGCAGCAGGGATTGTGTGGCTCTGGCAGAGTGGCCTGGGCATTCTTGTCTAGCTGTCAAGGCACCTGGACTCAGAACCTGGCCCTGCCACTCAGCAACAGTGCAAACTTTAGCAAGTCACTCGAGTCCCCTGAGCTGCTTTCATCATCTATAAAGGGTTAGGGGAGGGACAGCAGATTAGACGGTGTCAAAATCCTTTCCAGCTCCATCACCTGGTCCTATCAACGAGTTCAGTCTCTTCTGTGTTAAAAGGATTTGGATTAAAAATCGATGCTCCCGCATACTCCTGTAGCACACCCAGGGCACCCCTTTCATTCTCGTGGGTGTTCTCTCCCCACTAGAGTCTCCACTATCTGCCAGCGTGTACATGTAGACCCTTTTTATATATGTTAAGGAAGGACAGCTTCTAGCTGAGAGTGACAG